ATTAAACATGGACTATATTTTGACTAGAGTCACAATGTTAGTATATGTGATCTGCTGTGTTTCTCTTTTTGTCTTATTTCCCTATTATGGTAAAAATATGACAGTAAAATCTGATCTCAAACCTCTGCAGAAAATAATCAGAGGAATTGGTGTGTTTTCTTATTTTTAAAACATGATTAACTAATGACTTTACTCCTAAACTAGATTATATATTTAACTATTTATATTTATCTTTTTAGGCAATAAAGTTGTGCTTTAGGAAACTTTAAGCAAATAGCTATGGAGGTTATCACCACGATTAGTAAAGCTTACCCTTCTTAGTAAAGAACAAAATTTGAACATGTATAATACAGAAAGTTTTTTTCATTTTTAAAAATTTTAATGTCATAGTTATCTAAACAATTATTTCTTACTTTTCCATTCAACTTGTGGAAATAAGTAGCAGCTTAAGATTTCAGATGAAAATAGCATCATTACCCATTTCATATAAAACTAGAGGCCCAGTGCACAAAATTAGTGCATTTGTGGGGGTCCCTCAGCACAGCCTGCCCCCTTTCGCAGTCCCGGAGCCCTCAGGGGATGTCCAGCAGTGGGACATCCTTAGCACTTCCACAGAGGTGAGAGAGGCTCACACTACTGCCGCTGTGCTCACCAGCCATGAGCCCAGCTTGTGGGAGCATGCTGACCGCCATGCATTGAGCATCTGCCCCGTGGTGTTCAGTGCAGGCCATAGCAACTGGTCGTTCAATGCAGGTCATAAAAGGCTAATAAGCAAATTTGGTCAATTTGCATATTAGCCTTTTATTATATAGGATGGATAATGACCTTTTTGAATTATGTGCATTTTTAAAACTTGTTATATGTGGAGATATTCTACAAGTATAAAGTATATATTAAAATCAGTAGTTATGACCACAGGTTTATATGAAATTTATTACAAATTCAAGACTTGAATTAAACTGTTACATTATTAATATAGTCCATTTTTATTTATGTTCAAGAATAAAAATACTAGTTATAAGGTAATACAAAGTATAATTTGAATTATCTAAGTGTAATATAGTTTTTATTGAGGACTAATATTATGAAGAACCAGTAGCTGGAATATTGGTTTGGGTTTTTTTTTTACCATATGTAGTTATTATACCTCTTAGTCCATAAAGCATTTGTTCTTGCCCTAATTATGATTTAAGTACCTTTTTAATATCTAAAATTTATTATCTTTTTATTTCCTGCATTTTTCTCTCACTACATTTGTCTTGATACAATACTACCTTAAAAAATTTTTAAATGTATTTATTGTCTCAACTCTTGGCATTCCACCTCAGAATATATTTCTGTTTTTCTGTTAATTCATTTAAAGCTCTTATTTGAAATGTAAATGACTTCCTCTAGGACATTAAGCTAGGAAAAGTACCTGGGTTTTGGAGATTGCCAGAGCTACCTAGCCATGTGGTTCTTAACAAGTTACTTGCTGAAAGCATCATTTCATTAACTGCAAAGTGAGCATAATTATAGATATGTGGATTAAATAATAGATTTATAAAGTTTATAATGTCAAATGTAAATACTAATTAAAAAGTAAAACTAAAATTTTTATAAAGAGACTAGAGACCTGGTACAGGAAATTTGTGCACAGGGAGTAGGGATTTCCCTCAGCCCAACCTGCATCCTCTCCAATATGGGAAGCTTAGAGGGATGTCCCACAGTAGGATCAGGCCTAACTGGGCAGTCAAGACATCCCTCTCACAATCCAGTCCTACTGGCTTCCCACCACTCACTCACCTGATTGCCCCTAACTGCTTCTGCCTGCTAGCCTAATCACTCCATAACCACACCCTTTCCAACCTGATCAACACCTAACTGCTCTCCTGCCGGCCGATTGCCCTTAACTGCCCTCCCCTGCCGGCTTAGTCACCCTAACTGCCCTCTCCTGCTTACCCGGTCAACTCTAACTGCCCTCCCCTGCTGGCCTGGTTCCCCCCCCCCCCCCGAACTACCCTCCCCTGCAGGCCTGATCCACCCCCCCCCCAACTACCCTCCCCTGCAGGCCTGGTCCCCCCAACTGCCTTCCCCTGCTGGCCTGGTTACCCCTACCTTCTCTCCCCTGCTGGTCTGGTCACCCAAAACTGCCCTCCCCTGCTGGCTATCTTGTGGTGGCCATTTTGTGTCCACCTGGTAGTGGCTATCTTGTATGTTGGAGTTATGATCAATTTGCATATTACTCTTTTATTATGATAAGGGCTCAATTTTAAAAAACAAATTACATTTTTAATGCATATTTTAGGTAATAGAATTATAGGACAGAATTAACCTAGTGAAGTACTTAAACTCCCATTACGATTATTGGCAGACTTATTTATTTTTGTGAAGTTGCATATAGGATCAAGTACTAGCTTGTTATCTTTAGAAGAAAAAAAAAAAAGTAGAAATAGTCATGAGAAAATAGGTTTCCATGTATTTTGTCAAAGCATTTAAAGAATTGCTGGTTTTTATTTCCGGTTGCAAACTTTAATACTTGATTTAAAAAGCACATAAACTGTGGGTTATAAGTGACCAATCATGATAGTTTTAAAGTATTTTTTAAGTTGATCAGTTTTGATTGTCATTGTGCATCTAGACTACCTCAATCTTTGGGAAAGGCTTATACTTACCCTGACACTTAAAATGTAGAAGTCCTTTAAGGATTCAGATTTTTAAAGACGAAATAGCCCAGCCTAAGGATTCAGATTTTAAAAGACAAGATAATCTATCTTGCTTGGCTCAGTAGTTGAGCATCAACCTATGAACCAGGAGTCACAGTTCGATTCCCAGTATGGGGCTTGCAGGAGGCAGCTGATTGATTTTTCTCTCTCATCATCGATATTTCTCTCTCTCTCTCTCTCTCTCTCTCTCTCTCCCTCTCCCTTATCCTCTAAACTCAATAAAAATGTATTTTAAAACAATTTTTAAATAAAGACAAAATATAAAACTGAATTTCCAAATAAGTTTTTGTTCATTTCTCAGTAATTAGAAAAACTATTCCAACAAATCATATCCTGCTGCCACAGAGAAGAATAGAGTTTCCAACATCCATTTTTGTTATGTGTAGGAGAGACAGATATATCTGAATATATACTTATGGAATAAGCATATAAATATGCTTTATGTATGTATGTGTTGTGTGTGTGTGTAGGTGTAGGCATGAGCTTGCATTTGGGCACACCTTCCCTGTACACTTTTAGTTTGTTGAAAATTTTATGTCTTTATAGCCAGAATATATGAGTTTTTTAATGTGTAGAATGTGTGGAAAATATATACCTTGCTTTTTTTCATATATAGCACTTCTTAATAGAAATAAAGTTAAAGACGGGATTAAAGTTTTTTGTTGCATGTCTTTGAATTAGATTCAAAAATCTAGTCATCAGTCACTGAGTGAACCTATATTGAATTGCTTATAGGAGCCTTGTACTTTATTAGTGGGAATATAAAATATTAATTATAAGGCTACTGATCTGCAAAAAAAACAAAAGATGCTTGAATTCTATTGGTTTCGTACTTTTTTTAAAGTTTAAAATAAGCATATAGCTACAAATGAGCAGTTCTGAGTTTGAGTTGATCTAGGTTGTGTTTCTTTTGGGCACTGCTGTTTTTGTTCAGTCTTGGGCTGGGTTGTTTTGTTGGGGTTTTTTTTAGTCTGGGAGTTGGTCTTTTTGTTTGTGATGAAAAGGGATGTTTTCTTAAAAATGCAAAAATATTAGGCTAGCATTGTGTATATAATTTTGGTTGATGTGGTTTTGTGTGTTTTACCTATTTAACTTGTTGGGTGTGTGTGTGTGTGTGTGTGTGTGTGTGTGTGTGTGTGTGTGTTTACTCAAGATTTTATTAGAACAGGCTGTGGCAAAAGTCCACTTAAACTGTTAAAATAATAAATTGGAAGTATAGAAGCTACAGTATAATGTATTTGAAATTCTAAGTAAAAACTTTTAAAAAAATATCAACAGCAAATTGTAAGCTGTTGTCATGTTTATTTGTAGCAGTTTTTTTAAAAAAAAATTACATTATTAAATTTGAAAAATTTGATTCTTGTTCAGGTTTGTACTAATCAACTTTTTTTTTAATGATTGAAGCTATGCTTTTAAATTATGTCCAAAGTATCCATTATATTGAATACTTTGGACATAATTTATAAGGTGCTCTATTATAAATTGAGGCAGAATCCATATTTTTCCAGAAAAACATTTATTACATAGAAAAAGAAAGAAGTATTATTTAACTTATTGATTGACTTTTGTTAGTTTTTTCTAAAATTACCTTCTTATTCTCAAAGATTGATATCTTTTCTTAAGATTAGAATTTATTATGATAGTACAAATTATCCTGAAGTTATATTCATCTAGTTAAATAAACTGCATTATTCTAACACCTAAAAGAAAGAAAAACCAAATAATTCTGGAATGTACTTGCTTAGAATCCTTTCAATTTTGCATTCCTGATCACCCCTGGCTTTTTTCACATTCAAATACCAGATTTTGCTGGTCTAGCCTAGAAACTATTAATAGAATTTTCAGTGTATCAGTACAGTGATGTCACACAGGCCTTCTAAATTCTGGTCTGATCTGTAACTATGGTACAATCTCTTCATGTTCTACTATTCTCTTACAGTAGCAAGATATAAAAGGGACATAAATGAGATGATTTATTGCTGCGGGTGGTGTTTAAAATCTAAATGTTTTAAATTTGATGGAGCAATGGAGGATGGAGCAAGCTGTGAAGCTGCTCCAGTTAATCAAGGGTAGAAAGATACAATGGTTTTTGTTTGTGTTATAAGATGCAGTCATTTGTTATTGGATGAGGAGTGTCTTAATTAAGGGAGTATTAAAAAGATCCTGAGTTAAGTGCTTTATAAAAAATTTTAATAACTGACCACCTAATTCAAATAAGTTGAAAGTATTCTGTTCATTATAACTATATTGTAATCATTGACTGTATTGTGAAAAATATTTTTTGTTTTCTTCCAGTGTGAAAAACTCAAATTATTGTCTCCCATCATATACTGCTTATAAGAACTATGATTATTCAGAACCTGGAAGAAACAATGAACAGCCAGGCCTCTGTGGCCTAAGTAACTTGGGAAATACGTGTTTCATGAACTCAGCTATTCAGGTAGGTATTTCCAAACAATGTGAAACTCGTGTGTTTTATGAGAGTCGGTAATACAAGAAGAGTAGACTCCGGTTTTGTATGTCAGAACATGAGTATTATATATGTTTTGAGAATTTCTTTTTTCGTGGAATATTTATTCATACACATTTGACTCATTAATTCTAGTGCTGGTAATACAATATCTTTATCATGTTCCTCAATTAGGTGGCATATAATAGATTACCACATAGTAATTAAATATCACTTCATGCAAAAATGTAGCAATTCCAAACAGAATACTAGGCTCTCTGAGAAGAAAAGAAAGCTAGTGAGATCTCTACAATATTCAGTAGAAGCTTCCTGGTAGTTTGTTTTTGTTTTGACATTGATGGGAATGTTAGAGAATAATTTTATGGTCATCAATCTTCTAATTCTAAGTAAATTATTTTTAAATCTTTTTTTAACATTAATGTGAAGTTAAGATTTAAAAATGTTATATGAACCTCATTTCCTTAAAGATCTTTAATTTGGGGATATAAGAGATCACTGCCTTTTTCCCCTGTCTCTCCATGGAGCTTCCCTTTTTGTCCTCTTTCTATACCCTCTTCCAGCTTAATTTGTTAAATATTTATGTCTTTGCTTGATTTTGAAGTAGCAAGATCAATATATATCTTAATTTCACTGTCACTGTGTATAAAATTAGAGCTGGTTATTTACTACCCCTTATACAAATAAAAATTTTTCAAGTCCCTGAAATAATGGCACATACTGTTTTTTATATTTAAATTTTGACTTTTTTTGTTGTTGCAAATTCTGAATTTTACTTTTAAATTTGCAATTTTCTGTTTTCGGTTCATATTTAATTATGAATTTCCTTTGCCTAGGAGGCAGCCCCCAAATATAAAGATTAAATATAGAATATGGCTTGATAAGGACATTATTGCATATCTTTTTTTACTATCTGAGAAAAGCATAGGACTATTCACCATCCAAAATTATAAATAAATCCTTTTGTAATTGTCTTTACAGCATTCTTGGAAAAATTAGATTTACATTGTCATCACTCTGTAGATTAGGAATTGGAGGAGTTGGCAATCTTTTAGAAATGTACAAAGAAATGTAATTGGTTAGTTTCTGATTTCTTGGTTTAGAGTTGAGCTACCCAGTGTGTGTTGCAGATACTATGTCGATTAATAAACTCTTCCATTAAACCTTCTTTAATAAATAATATTTATTCACTTTAATGTGAATTACTTTATTCAAAATTGGTTTTCTAGTATATTAGCACTAATGAACAATTACATTTTAATTTTTCTGGTAAAGGAGAAATGAAACTCCTAAGAAGAGCAAACACAAAGCATATTGTTCTTATTTTTACTTAGATAACAAAGTATAGTGCATTAGTTTTGAGCATTCAGAGATAGGGATTGGGCAGACAAGTTGCAATTTTGTTTGTATATATGTTGGACTACCCTACTGATTACTGAAAATTATCCTTAATACCATCTCTGAAAAATGTTTTATATAAACAGTCAAAGTTTGATATAGTTTGAGGGTTTGTTTGTTTTTTTTAAATATTTTAGTATAGAAAAATAACGTTGGTGCTTTTTTGTAAGGATTATAGGCAATAAATACTTAGGTCTTTCAGAAGAAAGCAAGATTATTCATGCTGTGGTTCATGGGAGGCTCTGGCTTGCATTCCTTTTAAGGCAATATTACATTCTAATACCCTGTGCCTTTGATGTAGTCTATTAACTGTTTGTCTTCATATGGTTAATTAATTTCTCAAAAACGAGTATTAAAATTAAATCTTCAAATCAGCTATATTGAGCTAGGTTTGGCATTTATTTAACTTTCTTGTGTATGTTTTAAGGTGTCAGAAACTTCATATTAGTTTTTGCAACTGTTTAAAGCAGTTTTATTACAAAAAAAAATTGGTAGATATAATGCTGACACTCATTCTTAATATGTTTCACCTTCACATATTTATTTCAACTGAGATGCAGTCATGAGCATGAGGTTTGTTAGGGTGATAGTTTGTTATTTTCTGGTAATCATAAAGTATGAAAAAATTTTTATGTAAATTTCAATAAAATACTTTAAGCAGTAAATATAGTTCATGTCTGTATCTTGGTTGGTTAGAAACTGTATTTTCTCAAAAATAAAACTCTCCAAGCAAATTGTAGGGTACAAATACGAGTTTATATTTTTGCTACTTTTGACTTTTAATCCATATCCAAAATTAACAAAACTAGTGCTTCAGTTTTATTTTCTTATTTTCTTAAATCTGTGATTTTTCCATTGATTTAGATATAATCTCTCAACCTAAAGTCACACTAATAGGGAATACAAAATTGTAACAGTAATTTTTTTCCTCTGTTTTATAAACACACGTGTAAATTCTTAGGTCCACAGATGGAAATTATAAAAATAACTAATAGCGTCATTTTGGGTTTTTTTGTTTTGTTTTGTTTTGTTTTTTCTTCAAATTTCCTTATAACTTCTGTGAAATAGAAGACAATTCATGAACATCAGAAAATATGAAATAACACTTATAATTTAAATTTTAAAATCGTTTCTTATAATCCTAAAAATATGAGTGGGTATTTTATAGTATGTGATCGTGATTTATACTTTAGCCTTGAAATAGTGAAATCATTTTGATTTCGCTCATGATTAAAGATTAAAAAATACCAATCTGTGTGATTTAACATTATTGTTATTTAATTTAATTATATTGGTGTTTAAGATTTTCTTGATGTGATAGTATTTGTGAGCATTAAATTTTTCTGATGAGTCTAGTACTAACATATAGTTTCAATTAATTAAGTGAATTTTTATTTAATGTGAGATACTTTTGATCATAAATCCTGACCTTATGGAGATTATAATCTAGATATTGTGATTTTCAAACTTTTTTGCTTTTTAGCATGAAAAGATTGTAAATTATTACTGTGAAAAGTTTAATTGTATTGTCAGTATCTAACAGATATGGTGAAATTGCTTTAATTGGTTAAAGTGTCCAGAGTCCCATCTGCTTTCTTTAACTTAATGGCCTCAGTAGCATTCTTATGGGATACCAAGAATAGTTTAAAAACCATATTGTGGCCAGAAAGAAAAGAAAAGAACACATTAAAAATTAATAATATAGGTTAGGAGCACACTATGGAGTTACATTGCCTGGATTAAACACATCTCTGCTACTTATTAGCTGTGTTATCCTATACAAGTAATTTCCAATACTCATTTTTTTCTTATCAGATAAGGAAAATAGCACCTGTATGTAGGAGTTTTGTGGGGATTAAGTGAATTGATAAATAAATATAAAGATCTTAGGATAGTAACTGGCACATCATAAAAGAATTAAGTACGTATTAGGTTTGTATTATTTTGTCTGTTTTTAAATTCAAGGAGTCAAGCAGAGTGACTCTGAACAAACTCCAAATTCCATAGCTTGTATATTTGTTCTTTCCTACAAGTCTTATTCCACTTTGGCTGGACTTAGTGAATGAAGAAAGAATTGAATGTACTTTTATTTTTCACTGTATTATTATTCAACAATGGTATTTATCATCTCCCTTTTCTGAACTGTGTCTGTTTAGTTCTCCTTAGGCAAACTCATAACCAAGGGGTATAATAACATGGAACTATGTATGAATATTCAATCCACAGGGAACTCAAAATTCTTGAGTTCAGATTATCCCTGTCCACAGCTTTCTGAGTAGTTATGCTCATAGGCATATACTACCATGTCCTGGTGGTACAACTAAGTTAACAAAATACTTTTCTAGTGCCTTACATGTATATTACTCCACTGAGAGAATGTCTAGTTTTTTATTGGCGGTTATTTTAATTAGCATTAGTTGAGTAGATTCAGGAGCACTCCAACCTTGTCTTTTTCATTGTCAAGGCCTAGGAGGCTCATGATTGGCTTCCTGGAAGAAGCAACTCTTCAGATGGATTTGAAGCAGGGGAGTGATATGGTCTTTTCCACTGGAAAGCAGCATGGCGTAAGATGGTTGTTTTCAAACTTTTTTCTTGGAAGTATTAGGGCTCTTTAAATATTCTCTGGGAAGTCATTGAAAAATTTTTATAGTAATCAAGGACCTTTCCATTAATCCTATCATACAATGTAAAATCAGTTGTGAATTCCAACCTTTTTAAGGTCACTTTTTTCCTGTGATTTTTTGGGTTGGGGAAAAAATTATGCATTAAACACAAAAAATGTTTAATAGAAAGTTTAGGGTTGGGTTTGTTTTTTTTTTAAGACTTAATTAAAGAGAATGAGCAATACTACACAGAAGTAACATTCTTTTAGGAAACTAGATTCTCATATTATAAAAACAGAGGAAAATTATTTCTGAAGCTATTCTATGTTCCTGTACTTCATAGCTTTGAATATGATTAATATAATGCTATTCTACTCTCACCTTAGACATTCTTTTCCTTTTTATTGAAACACAAATTCTTGTAAGCCCAGTTTAACATGAAGCTTTCTAATTTCATTCAAATTAACCAAAGTTATACTTAAATAAATGATGTGGTTTCCATAAAAAATGAAACACTTAAACCCCAAGACATAAGAATTTTTTAAAATACTTATGATCTTAAAGAAAATTACTTCCTCTTATAAAAGGAGAATGTGACTGACTAAAAATTCAAATAGTTCTTTCTAGGGCAAATTTTTATCTAAGTCAGAAAATTAGACTCAATTATTTGAGTTCCTTTCATATTATGAGCCAAAATTTATAATAGTTCTCTAATAATTTAGTTTTTATAACTGGGGGAGAAATAGTATCTCTAAAAGAATGCCTTGCACCTGTGTAACTTGGTTAATAATGATTTTTTATTTATTTATTTATTTAATTTTTTTTGTCATGAAAACATCCTTAACCTCAGATACAGGGTGGAACAATCTTATTTTTCTGTTCTTCACATTCTTCCAAAATAATATATACAAGTTTCTTTAGGATTAATGCTTCTATTTCTGATAACTTAATTTGCTTAATGACTTAAATATT